CTGTGCGTGGGGTTTTCCTGGGAAGCACGGGAGCACCTTCCCGGACGCTCCTGAGCCCGCTGTGCTGTTGTGATGGGCGGCACTGCCGCCATGTGCCGCTCTGCCCTCTCTCACTGGCGTGAGGAACAAGTCACATCTAGAACATGAAAACTTTCTTTATTTACCGCGTCTTGCTGCAGAACGGGAGATCAAGAGGAAGAAAACCACGCAGAGCTCTGCACAGTGACATTTCCGACCCCGTGCGCGGCCAGGCGGCAGCGTGTGCTCACGCTGTCCTCCGCGCTCGCTGCCAGAAGAGCGACTGCGCTCAGGCAAACAAGGCCGCGCTCCTGCGGCTCGTGGTACCCGCGGCACCGCTCTGTAGCGTGTTCAGCTGGTGCTTCTCCGGGAGGTGCTGATGAGCACAAACTCGTGCGTTTACTGACAAGACTCAAAATTGGATAGGCAAAGTTAGCCCTCCACAAGACAAGTTCTACTAATTACACTTTGTAGGAAGGACCACTTTCCAGTGGAAAGATGCCTTTCTCAACACATATTTCTAAAACGAAGTTGCTCTGCGTATTACTCAGCTTCAGCTCAGCCTTTCCAGTTATTGATAATTGAGCATTGAAAATCACTGAATTTAGATGACTTTAGATCATTAGGAAAAGACATTTTCCATAAATAACATACCAGAGAGAGAAAGGACATAAAGATACTAAAACAGACACATATTCACAGTTTCCTCTTTCATTTAAGGTGTAGAAATAGGCATTTTTGAATAACATTTTTTACATTATAACAGCAATAAAATCAGATAGTTTATGCAAGGCACACTTTTAAATATAACCATGCTGGAAGGTTACTAATTGAACATATAGCATTTAATGTATACACAGAAGATAAATTATGAAAAAAAAAAGCAAAGGTGCAAAGGTGGAGCATGGGGTTGGAACTACAAGCAAGAACATTTTCAACTCTAGGGCATTAAGCATATGCTTACTAGAAGGAATTTGAGTAGGAAGAGAAGAGATTAAGATTCACAACAAATTTTTGAAGAATTGTTTAGCATTTTCATGATCTGATTGACTTGATAATTCTCAGAAATGTCACTTTATAGTCACTAAACTGTTTTAAGTTTGAGGAAGATACATGCATGTCAGCCTCCTATTTGCATTCCTTAGATTTAAAGATTGAGAGACTGGCTCAAATACTCGCAGATGATGCAGATGGTGACTGCTGGTGTTTTCTGGAAGGTACCAGTAGGACCAAGGCTGAGGAAAGGGCTTGCAGAAGCATAAGACTGGAAAGACTGTGGTGGAGGAGAAGTGTTGTTTCTTGTCCTGCACTGGGCTGCAGCATGGGCTGTTAAAGATCAGGTGCTTCTTTTCCACACCGCAGAAGAATCCCTGCCTGGGACAGTGGCTGTGCCATAGGTTGCAGAGCTGAATTTGGAAGTGCTGTTTCCCATGTGTCCTGGCTGAGCATCCTGTACTATCTCCATTCCACAGACTAGAAAAATTGATTAGAAAGGGAGTAAAAGAGCTGCCTTCATGCACTCCTCTTGACTCCTAGCAGGCCCAAGTGATTGCACAGTCCTTTCAACTTATTTTTTGTAGTTGGCCATTTTTTCCATTGAGTATATTTTTGGTTAGAGAAAGGGTGCTGGAAAGTCCTTACGCATCCAGGCACGAGAGCTCAGACTGTGATCTCAGTATGAATCCCAAATGAACTGTGATTGCAGATGTGAATGACATTTAGGATCTTCTCTCATCTTGAAAAAAATTACAAGAGTGCTCAGAAGATTTCTGTCACTTGTGTGATACTGGGGAGGTCATCGGTATCTTTTCTTTTCCAGCACGGCTATGTGCTTGACTTAAAGTATCTTTCTGAATCCTCTAACAGGCAGCTTGAGAGATGCAGTAGCTACTTGTAACCTTACTAAAAGCAGCCATAGCAGAAAAGAAAAAATCAACCTAATCTCACTGTGTTGCTCCTTTGGAAACTCATTATCAGATACAGGAACAATTTACTGGTCAGGTAATAAGAGTTCAAACTCGTAGCTGTCAGATATCAAGGAAATCCTTAGTAGCAAACACTTTGCCAGTATGTAGTGCATGCTTGGCATATCTGATAAATCTTGTTATCACTTTTTATGGCATGCAAAACAGTGTAAGGTAAGTTGTAGGATCACCTTTAGACTGTTGCAAATTTTATGGTTTGCTGTGACTAGATAAAGTGAGGAAGGCATGGAAAACAGGAAAGGCAAATATAACTGATTAGATACAAAAGTCACTAGAACTTTGTCTTTCACACACATAGGCATAAAATTTTTTATAGTGTTGACATAATACAGTTACAGAATATAGCAATAGTAATGTTGTTACTGAGTGGAAATACAAGTATTATGTCTGAAGGAAAGAGAAGACTCAGAAAGAATGTTTCTCATGAGATCTGCAAAGATACAAAAAGCCAGACGGGACAGACTTGGCTGCTCTCAAGGAAAGAGGCTACAAAGAAAGTCGTTGCACAAACCTATGGGAATAGCTGACGGCAGGGAGGAAGATCAGTGCAAAGACTGAGGAGATAAAATCTGTGAGGTAGGTAGTGGTAAGGCATGAGTGAAATCTTAGGTTGGATAAACATGTCACAGTTTTCAAATGAGTCAAATAGATCTGATAGTTGGCATTCTTACATGCCAGCATTCAGACTAGAACAGCCAGGCTCTAATATGCAGGAGTCAGCAACTGGCAAAGAAAACAAGCACCAAGAAAGATGCAAGAACAAGCATCTGTTGTGACTCTTCTCAGAAGTCAAAATCCATCTTAGAAGACATGTGAAAAGAGATTTGTAACCCCCACACAAGTCTCCGCATGTTTTTTGGACACTACCCCAAAGTGAAATATCAAAGCAGTTGCTGAAGGGCTCACATTTGATGTTACCGTCATTCCATCAGCCATACACTAGCCTGGGGCTACTCTGCATGTCCAGCCATATTTCAGTCACATCTTATATTGAAGTTCCACTTGTAAGTGAGCTTTAAAGGGATTAATTAATGGTTAATGTGAGTAATAAACACACTGAATAAATAGCAGCATGTAAGCAATTACAAGCATATTCAGGGAATGTATTTCTGATGCTTGTCTGACAGAACTGCTAACGATTGTTTTATTACGTTTCCATAGTTTAATACAAAGCGTAACAACAGTTTTATATTTTAGTAACAAGCCTGTTGCAAGGCACTTGCATCTCCTTCTTTAGCTTTTCTGTCTCTTTGAAGATGACTGCTGCTACTTCTAGTTTACAATAACTGTAATAAAGTCAAACTCCTTATTCTCACTGGTGATGCTACATTCATGGCAGAAGACCACATCTAACCCAAAGCCTATCAGCCTTCTTTAGAGGTAAATGGGCACTATCAGTTCTGCACGGTGTATGGTGAACTGGCCCAAAACAAATGCCATGCTCTAATGTATTTGTGAACCAGCTCGAATTAAGGGAGTCTCCTTGCATTGAGATTTGGTTTAAAGTGCCGCTGCTTTCAAGTGGTTGTGAAATGAACTGAGATAACTTGCTCTCAGCTGTCAGTTTGTTCTGAATGGAATCATAACAGTTCAGGCAGCGCCAGAGAGACACATAATGTCTGCACAATTACAGAGTATTATGTGTTTTACTCAAGGGACTAAGGAAATGTTATCATTTTATATGTAGGATGAAGGCTGTTAATTTCAGACAATTATCAGATGAAGCCTCAGGGATACTGGTGATGAAGGATGCAGAGAAGGCAGAGATACTGAAGGCCTCCTTTGCTTCAGTCTTTACTGCTAAGGAATCCTGGACTCTGGAGACCAGGGGGTAAGTCTGGAGAAAGGAAGACTTTTCCTTGGTCAAGGAGGATTGAGTTAGATCATTTAGGCAAACTTGACACCCATGGGCCCTGATGGGATGTGCCCATGAGTGCTGAGAGAGCTTGCAGACATCATTGCAAGGTCACTTTCAATCAATCATCTTTGAAAGGACATGGAGAACTGGAGAGGTGTCTGAGGACTGGAAGAAAGCTAATGTCACTCCAGTCTTCAAAAGGACAAGAAGGAGGACCCAGGCAGGTTGCCCAGAGTTTTTGTGGAGTCTCCATTCTTGTAGGTACTCAAAAGCTGCCTGGATAAGGGCTGGGGCAACATGCTAGAGGTGACCCTTCTATAGCGGGGTGGAGGAGGGTTGGACTAGATGATCTCCAGAGGTGCCTCCCAACCTCAGACATTCTATGATTCTGTGATTCTTTGGGTGGATATTGTGAGTACCTGGCCATTTCTGTTGATATTTCTCTGAATTTTTGTTTGTTTTCTGTTTGGAAGTGAAGAAAGATTTCTCTACTTGCTTTTTCAACATGAAGCTCTTGATGACAGGTCTCCTCATCTGAGCTGGGAGGCAGCCAGTGAGTGTTTTAAAGACTGCTGACAATCACAACTGAATTCTAACAAAAAGAAAAAGGATAGTAATTAATTACTTCAGGGAAAGTTGCCCAAGGGTATTGTTGAGTCAGAAATGCTGAATGAAACCTGGGACATATATATATATATATATATTTTACCATGAGTGGCACCTCTTTGGACTGGCAGATGCTTTTGCAATGTGTGGAAATTTCCAAGCATCTGAAATATTTCCTCCTTAGGAAGTTGTTCACAGCCTGTGGTTTAGTCCTTTGTCCATAAGGCTTGTTTAGTGTGAGATGTAGAGATGGGAAATGTTGCTCTTTCAACGCTGCTTTCTGGGTACACCTTGCTCAACCAGGTATGTGGATGCTTGGCCCATCAGATTCCTCTTCCAACTTCGTGGTAGCTCCTTCTGCCAAGCCTAAGTCAGGCTTATGCCACTTAAGCTGAAGAAATTTTTCCATCATGTCAGCTCCCACGTTGAAGACCAGAGCCAGCCAGGCCAAACCAAAAACAATCCAAATTGCAGTTAGGCTCCTGTACACTGGGATATAGTGCTTGTTGGGGTCTGTGCCTGAAAAATCCAGGAAACTCAGAATATTAATCTTAGCTGCTTTTGGACAAGCAGACAACATACCCAAGATTTCAAGCATACACACACACGTGAACTCACACGTGTGTGCGCTCATACACACATGAACACACACTGCTCCCTGCAAAGAGGTATGTTTAACAAGCTTATATGATCTATGGGCATCCTTTTTTTAATTTTCTTTTCTTTTCTTCTAAACTTCAGGTAAGCCTAGAACAGCTGTCATCAAATCTCCGAATTGCAGGCTTCTGGCACTGACAAAGGAAAAAAATTATCTCAGTGAAGTAATGATTATTTCTGTAGTGTGATATACCTGAGTACAAAGTCCAAAAACACTTGGAGAACGTTACTTGGGAAATGCAGCCATTTTAAGTATGTGGATATGAGAGTCTGTAACCCCCCAGGCTGGTATTTTCACAAAATGGGCACTCAGTGCAGCTGGATATAAGCAGGATCATCAGCGCTGCAGCTGTCCATTTAGTGTCTCTCATCCAGATCATCATGTTACCTGGATTCAGGATGGCCTGGGCTTGTTCTCTCCTTTCAGGATGTAGGAGAGAAGAGCTATCTCTCGTGAAGTAACATCCTGGTGTTCTGAATGAGTAAGTACACTATATGTCCTGTATTAAAAGCATTAGTTTAAATAAGCTGATGGAAAGATAGTCTCTCACATGTCTCTCTTTCTGTGTCTCAGCATAGATCCCTGAAAACTGTATACTGCTGCTGGAATTATTTTCTTTCACAGACCTCCCAGAGCTGTGACTAATATTATCCCTACTGTAACTGCTGAACATTTTATATTTGACCCTTTCTTGTTGGGAATGGAAGGCAGTATCTGAAACAAATCATTGTTAGGAGAGCACTGGCTCTTACTATCAAGACAAACATTTCACTTATACTCCATCTATCTCCCATGGATCACATTCATACCGACTTGGGCATACTTACTACTTACAAGGAGTGTTCAATGTCATTTATGAAATGAGTTTAGTGAGTCTCAACTTAGCTGTCAAGAGACACGTATCTTTGTCATAAAATACATTATTTCATTATTAGCAGTCTGCTTCAGCTGTATCTTGTACCAGGTACATAATGGTACAAGAATAGGTATGGTGGTATAGAATAAGTGTCTATGCTGTCTATACTTAGGTTCATATTGGAGTAACTAATTTCAACAAAGTTCCTCCCACTGGAGTGAGGATGCAGACAGACACATAAAATTCATCCATGTTTGCTCTTGTTATTACCTACTACATAGTCCCCAAATCCAATGGTGCTGAGGGTGATAAAGGTGAAATAAAAGCCTTCTCCATAGCTCCAGCCTTCTACATAACTGAAGACCAGGGGTGGAAACACAAGAAAAAGCAAGGTCCCAGTGGTCAGGAAGATGGCCATTGCCAGTGTCTGAAAGACCTGCAAGAGAAAAGGAAGATGGCAGCTCAGCAGCACTGCACATGTGTTCACTGGAAACTGCTGGTTTTGTTTTGCTCTTGGATCACAAACCTTCTACTGCTGGGAGCAACAAACAAGAAAGGAAAAATAAACCCATGCATCCAGGCACTGCAGGCTGACCTCTCCGGTTAGGATGCACATACGTACTGGAGCTCATCACGAGTCCAAAAAAAAAAATTTTAATTATTGAAAAAAGTGGGTTTTTTATGCTTTAAGCAATCATTTTTTAAAGTATGTTCAAGACACATTTCCAAATTTACTATAGCAGTCATAAGAATTAAATGCTTACTTTACATTTTCAGTTCAAACTAAGGTGCTCTTACAGTCACTTGGCTCTAAGAACACAGTCCTTTAGGAAAAGTGCCAAATATTGCATAACTCATGATACAAAGATTGGCAAGAGCAAATTAGGATTTTCTTCACCATTGCTGCTTCCAAAGATTTATTAAGTGCCTTGCAAGAGCTCAGCCAAAAATATGTTTGAATAAAATCTAAGTGAAGTTGGTTTGCCTGCTTTTATTTTAAACTTAGAAGCATTCAGAGCAGAGCTTTTTTTTGATTTTTTTTTTCTGTCAGCACGAGGTAGATCTGTGTTTTCCAGTACAAGTCTGCCTTTTGGGAGATGTTTAGAGCAGCTACGTTACAGCACATGTTGCTGCATTAGTTAGTACGCAGAGCAATCAATGGGTCATGACAGAGGAATGGCCTCGCAGTTTGACCTAAGGATTGAGGATCAGGACCTCAAAGGTTCCCAGGGAACTCACTCAGGACTAGCTAACTCTTGACTAGTGATGTGTGGTCTGACACAAGCTCATTGCAATCATTTAAAAATGTCCTTATCAGCATTTGAACCAAGTATGATGTGTGCTATGAATGCACTTACTGTGACTTGATGAAAAATCAAATCGCTTGGTTTATGAAATGGGAAGTCCAGGTAATATTTTTTTTCTTTCCCTCTCTACATTATCTCCTACATAAAAATGATCCAGTGAGTTAAAAGTTGAAAAACTTGGTTTGAACCTACTGGGTGACTTTGACAAATCACTTCTATACTATGTACCTTGTCTCTGCAGCTGTATAATGATATGAACTTGATTTGCAAAACATTTTGAGAGTTACTGATGGACGTTCTAGAGTTGAATTCTGTTCTGATTTAGTTCACTGGATAAGTGTGATAACATTTAATTAGACAGTAAATTTTGCATAAAACTTTATATTAAAATGTTCAATATTACTTTTTCAACTGGCATTTAAGAACCTTCTGGTAAAAACACATAAGGTAGAGGGAAGTGTAAGTCAGTGTAAGTCACATCAACTGTAATTAATTACTGAAATATCGTTACTGAACTGCCTTTGAAAGAAGACAAACCAATTTCCTGGGAGAGGCTTCCCAGAGTGAGCAAGCAGTTAAAGTTCCCAAACTCCACCTGATCATGGAAATTCTGCCAGAAAAGAGGTGTTAATTCAGGGGTGAAAAACAATCACATCCCTCAAGTACCCTCACAAATCTCAGGAAAGATGCACCTATACGAGCGTGAAGTGTAGAGCTGCCTGTATCTGGGGAACAGACATGGGTTATGCAGCAAAATAACTTGTTATTCGTATGAATTGAATCAGCATTTGATAGTAACTCATATAGCTTTGCCAGCAAATCTTTAACAGTGTAGATAAAGAATACAGAGATTCAGAGATTTCACAAGTGTGAAAGAGAAAAAAAGTATATGCCAAAACTCTGAAGTGTTTTGGGATGTTTTGACGTGACATTCAGGATCGTTACCACAAACATATCTGATATTCCCTTTCCTTAAAGCAATGGGTCATTCATGGAATCTTTACTCAGAAATGTCTACTAACTTCATAAATCACTTTTAAGCATTTTATACAATCACTGTTTCCCTTATTCCAATACATCTGGATTATCTTTGTGACTCAGCAATAAACTATAACCAAGGAGAAGGCATATTTATTTACAATTCAATATAGGAAAAGGAAGGAAGTGATAAATTGCTGACACAATCTGGGAAAGTAATTCAGGTCAGGTTAATAAGGCCAATAAAAATAAGTTGTCCTTGCACAGTGTAGAGCTAGATTCTGAGCTAGATAGTACTGTAGATAGGATGACCTTGATTCAGCAAAGTGTGTATGTGCGTGTATTCCGCTAAGGTCAGCAGAGCTCAAAGACCCTGCTCAAAATTGAGACTGTGCTTGCTTAACAGTTTTGTTGAATCAGGGTCTAAAAAGGCAAATCTGGACTTCCTCAGGCAAAAGAAAATTGCTTTAAAGTCATCTTGTTTAAATATATCTTTTTCTTTTTTGCATAGAGAGGTTCATGTGGTTGCTGTGATTTGGAGGATGTGGGCACACACAGTGACACTTAGCCTAACAGCAGGACTACCTATCTGAGAAAACAGCTTTCCTCAGTTTTAAAGCAATGGAAATTAATGACAAATTGACACTGTACCTGAACACGGCCTGACTTGTGCACCCATCTTTCCAGAGTAATGAGATGAGCGTTGAGTCCTTTCCCCAGCTGATTAAGGAAGGCCAGGTTGAGCGGCACTCCAAACAAGGCATAAAACACACAAAACACCTGCCCTGCCACTGTGCTGGGGGCCAAGTTTCCATAACCTGGAAGAAAATAGGAAAACCAGCTACCCAAAAAGGCTTTACAGTTAGTCTTCAGGCTATCATGAGATCTTTCAAGGCTTCATGGAATCATAGAATCTATATGTTTAGAAAAGACCTTCAGGACCATCAAGTCCAACCATAAACCCATCACCACCATGCCTACTAAACCATATCCCTAGGTGCCTGATCTGCACAGTTCCTGAACATTGCAAGGGACAGTGACTCCACCACTTCCATGGGCTTTACCAGGGAAGTTCCAGTGCTTCACCACACTTTTAAGCCTCAACAACCTGGAGGCCACACTGAAGTCTACAAATTGCCATAGCTTCTAATAGAAGCTATGTGCATTTGTTGCAATTAGCAGAACACTGAACATGAAAAATACTAATCTTACACTATTCCAATCTTCAGCAGCTCCTTGGTTTTGTGGGCAATGCAACTCAGTGCTTCAAAACAACCTGAAGATGTTTTGTGCATGTACAAAAATCATACCACATATTCCAAATAGGCACATGGCCAGTTTTGCAAGTGCAGTATACTCCAAAATAACAACAACAGGTAACTGATGACAAAATGCAATGTGCAGTAGTCAGGATCTCCTTGCAAGAGTATTCTCTCCAACAATGGTACATTTCTGTGGGTACATTGCTGGGCAGCTGGAGGAACCCCCTATTCTTGAGGAGAAAAAGCATACCTTACCTATAGTAGTAACAACAGTTCCTGCAAAGAAGAAGGAGTTGCCAAAGTCCCAGTTACTGGGATTGGTAGAATTTCCTTCTGGGTTGACTCCTTTTTCCCATGCTTCCATGAGCACCTGAAGCAGAAAAGGCCAGAGAAGCAAAGATGAGCAACCCATTAGACCAAGTCAGAAGCAATAGCAGAAAAGACAGAGAAGTAAATATTGCTTTTGACCTTAAGCAGGCATTGCAATACGCAGTGAAGACAACAGGTTAGACTTGGTCTAGAAGGACTTTGGAGGGGTCTTGTGCTGGCACGGGAAAGTTCTGTGAAATAGAGCTGGCTGGGAAATTCAACCCTCTGACTTGGAGAACTGCCTACTGAGGTAGGATCAGTTCCATTATTAGTTGAAAGCTGAAGGGAAGGGACTAGAGGGAGTGCCCCAAATGATCAAACTAGGAAAATAGGTGAAGTGACGGCATTAAAACAAACAAACAAACAAGAAAACCCGCAGTTCTTCTTCTCTCCTTCCCTACTTGTAACTCTCCTGTTCCAATTCTAAATTTGGGCATGTGTAAGTGTATGTTTGTGCTTGGGGGAAGGGTATTGGGAACACGCCTACTTCTAATCCCTCCATGCTCCAGGTAAGCATGAGTGTGGATGAGCTACAGTTTTTTCTAGCTATGGTTTCTCAGCATCAATCAATACCAGGCTTCTAGTCTCAAAGACTAGCTAATGAAATATTTTCTGTCATTCCAGGGAGCGCTTACCAGAGGACCAGAACTATTGTGTGGAGGTACAACTCCTATTTATATATTAAATACCCTGTCAGCCACCTTAGTGTTGACTGTGTTCTCAGCCCTCTCTGAGGATTTTTCTGAAGGAGAACTGGGTGCCTTCTGCTCACAGTCTGGGTGAGGTTTGGAGAATCTCCTGGTCTGATACATATCTGCTTTGAAGTCTGGCTCACATTTGCAGAATGGTTGAATGAATTACTTGTGAATTCACAGTTGTTGTCTTCCAGGTACTCTTGTATGATGCAAGTTTAATAGCTAATGTTTCTCCTTAATTAACAAATCCTACAGCATTGGTTAACTCCATCAGACACTTATCTGATGCTGGGCATCTTGTCACATGTGATCTCATGACAGTTGTGCTAACAGATTTTCTTTTTAATAGCACAAGGAACCTTATACTATTCATTAAAAGCCTGTCCTTAAAATGGGAAGAATTTGAAAGATCAAATTATCTGAAGATGACTATTTTATTTGCTGGTTAGAAATAATACTCAGAAGCTACTGTGGCGTGAGTCATTTGAAATTTCTGAAACAATCTCAGGTTCAATTCATCCATGTAAGGAACAATTTTCAGTTCTCTCCATTTCAATCCACACAAGCTCTGAGGTGCTACACCTACATCATGTAAGCCAGAAGGCAAGAATAAGGCAGTGTTAAATATTGAACACTTCAGACATTCCGACAAGACTGATTTCTCTTAAGCACAACATCAGGGGAGAGGTGGCAGGCTGGGGCGCAGGAGGATAATTCCTGAACAAGCTCCTGCTTGGAACACAGACCAGTATCGTGCCTCCTACCACCTTTCTGTCTACAACTCAGACTGGAGTTAGGGCTGAAGTGCTAACAGAATACCTGGTGAATGGTTGCTGGGCATTTGCAGTTGTCTTTGGGACCAGAAGGAGCTAGTAAGTAAAAACAATCTGCTATGACCTGCACTAAAAGTGTGAGGTCTGCATAAAGCTGTAAGCTGTAAAGTGTGGAGCGAGCAGCAGCTGCCTGTCATTCTTGCATCTGTCCCTGTCCCAATACACATAGCAGGCTCTTGTTGTAGTAGACAAGGATTTGGCCCTCTCAGTCACTATTTATATTGATTGCCTTAGGTCTGAAAAAAAAACATATGGGCAAGATCAAAAAAGCTCATTTAAAAAGACTCCTCTTAAATAATCAATTCAGATTATGGGCAAAGAAAGAAAAGAATTTGTTTCAGGCAAAATCAAGTCAAAGGTTAATAAATTATAAATTCACACTCTATTACTACTACTAATAGATATGCAAAAATAAGCCATATATGATTTTCAGATTCTAGAATTCAGGTTTAAAGCACTAGCAGTAAGAAAAGACATTGTATCCTTGTCAACTAAGTAAATTGAATGTGATGGCAGAGTCTCACCATAGTACCATTACTGTTGCTTCTCTCACTACAACTTGTGGCATGCTGAATGAGCCTCTTTTACATAGTGAAAAGCTACAGAGACAATTGCTCCACAGCACTAATTTTAGAGGTAGAGCTTTAATGTAGAAAAATTTCTATTCATTATTACTAGCAAGAGCTGGACAAATTTCTAAAGAGGCATTATAAATGACAGGGAAGTTGGAGCGTTTACACTCACTGCTCCCTTGAGGATTAAATGTAATTACTTTGAAGTTTGGTGCATTGTAGTTGATAATCTGGTGCCCTCCGACGGTTTTGTCTGGAACAGCAAAAAGTGAAATATTTTATCTAATTCAGCTGAGACTCAGCAAAATGCAGTTGTCTGAGTAGCCCAACTGCACTAATAAACACTGGAGCAAGAGGCAGGAAAATTTGGATACATCTGACTTTCCACACCTTAGTTTCTAGTGTACCGGAGATTGAACTAAACCTTTTATTCCCATGAAGTATCCCAGTCTGGTTTAGAATGAGAATCAGAATTTTCCACCATCATTACCACAAAGACAATGAAATGACAGGTAATATTACCAACTGGTGTATTCGAGAAATGCAGGCACATTTTGGAGCACTTAAATTCTTGAAAACTTTAGATATCTTCTGGATAACGACAAAAGTTTCCCAAGTCATTTATCACAGGATTAGACATCAGAACACTGTACTTGTAGAAAGAGGTTCAGACACTTTCTGTTCTCTTTATGATTTTCACTAATTGTTTGCTTAAATCCATTTACAGAATCTAGGCTCTTTGATCAGAAGCATATACCTTGGCAGGAGCCCTCTGAGAGCAGTGCAGACCGGCATCCCGTGTGGGGTGGTTTAATGACCTGACAGAAACAGAAACATTTACACCCCAGCTCTGTAGCTGGAGAAGTTTTGAGCATGAAGAAAGTGGTAATTCAAGGATTCCTGTCTAATTCGTGCAATCCTAGAATGATAGGGTATTTCTATAATACCAAAAAGGGTTTTATATATCATCTCCAGCCTTTTTTGAGGAATATATTTAAATGCAATTGAAGATGTCATTCATCCTCAAACCATGCTGAGCAAGACTTCTTCATCACGCATTAAAAATGATGAAGAAAAAGACACAGCTCATGCTGCTCTGGAAATATAGGACCACTGTAGGCTGTTCCTCTTACCTGTACAAACTGCTCCAGAGCTTGCCTGTCCAGGCACGTGTAGTTCTGCAGGAATTTGAGCTTCTCCAGCTGGAACTGGTCCCGAGAATGGGCCTCTGCTTGCTTCTCCAGCAGCTGGAACACCATAGCACCCAGGAGGAGGTAAAAGAGATATCCCAGGACCAGCAGCAGAGTCCAGCTGATCTGCTGCCTGTGCAGGGTGAGGAGGGCCATGCTGCTGCTGCGGCTCTGAGGTCCCTGCTCAGTCCTTGCTAAGTTACTGTTCCAAGACACCCTCTAGTCAGGGCACCCAGCAATCACACTCCCATGTTCCTGGTACTGCTGCAGGGTTTTTTTAACAGAATGTACAGGCATCAGGCCTGTGCAAAATGAGACAATTACAGACAAATTTTATCTCTCTTCTTTACCCCTCTTCTTTATCAAAAAACAAAAAAAAATCTTATTTATCCAAAATAAATGGACAGCATTTACCCTAATAACAATGTGAATCACAATATTTTGCTCTTATTAAAACATCTCTTATCCAGAGATCCCAATGAACTGAATGACGCTTGACACAAGCCCCCTGAGGTAGGTATCATTTTCCAGGCTGTGATGCTGAGGTAAATAGGTGGTTTAATGTCTTACGCAGGGTGACAAAAATGTAGAGCCAGGAACAGACTCTCTAAGTCTTGACTAGTAAAGCCTTACTCTAAGCACTAGACTTTTGTACAGCAAAACACTCTAAACTCTCTAATTACAGTAGACTCCCCAGAACACAGAAGAGTATGGAGCTGAATAAGTGTTATAGTCAATAGCTGCTGTCTGTACCATACAAACATTGGTGGCAACAGTGAGCACAGCACGATGAGGTTCATAAGCATCCTGAAGGCAGCCGGGTCACAAGACAGCTTCTCTTTCTTTCTTAGCCCTAATCTGTTCAGTCCCCTCACTGCCTAGCTGCTGGTCCTTAATTCTTTGTCAGATGGTTTCACACTTGGAAAAATCCTTAGTCCATTGAGTTAGGGAATGAACCGGGGTTGCATATCTTTCTTTAGGAACATCCGTATGGCTTCTTCATTAGTGGTATCCACGTCAGACTGCCTCTCAAAGAAAGTGCACACGCAGCAAGGAAACAGTGTGGCTGGGGCTGCGATTTTGCTACCAAATTCCTTCCATATTAAAAAGTTCTAGATACAGATATCCTTCCTTTGCTTAATATTCAGGATTGTTTTTCTCTTGCTTCCAAATGAAAAACTGTTTTTACTCATATCCATTTATGGGAAAACTGTGTACCTGCTATCCTCGCCTAAGGTCAGACATCTCCACCCAGAAAAAGGCTGGCAGCAGGAGGCCAGTTGTCTCTCTGTAAAGTGACGCATATTGTGGAGAACACCTAGTAGATCACCCTGGTCTTCTGGGTTTGGGACGGCTCTGTTGTTGCAACTAGGGGGCAGGAAGGGATTAGTAGAGAAATGCAACATGCAAGACTCAGGTTAAAGTTTTGGTGCTCTGTTGATTCTTTTAGCTGATGTAAAACCTAGCTAGAAGCCATAGTGGAATAGATAATATTGACCTGCAGCAGCATTATAAAGCAAACTACTCTGAAGCAACTGAGATGTCAAACCCACTCACCCCTGATGGCAGACCTGGTGGCCTGTGTGAAGAGCACCACTTACTTTCAGAGATTCTAGCAAGAGATTGACAACCATGAATGAAAGGTACAACCTGTTCCATACTCTGTGAAATGTGATGGGTAGATGGGCCTGGGATGTTTGCATAATTTCCTGTCACACTGCTTGCCACAGGTGAGACATCTAGGCATTTCTTCTGTTGCAGTAATGGGACCTACTTCTGCCAGTTCAGGAGAGTGCCAGCCTACTGATTTTCTGGAACAAACGCAGACACATTCAGAGAGCATCTGATGGGCTGAAACAGTCCCTCTGGCTCTTAGAGGTATCATGATTAAAGGTAACAAATCATTAGGTAAATTATTAATAAACAATTTTTCAGGTTCAGGTTTAATTGTAGGATCTTAATATTCTGAGAGTTTTGTAATCTGTGTGACTAAACCTGTTAATAGGTGTTTGCTGCTGTACGTCACTTTAGAGGAGAATCCTATTTGTTTGGCCAAGGGTGATTCCTAATCACCTATCAGAGAAGGTGTTATCATCTTTACCATTACTATTATTTGAAAAGCATTTCAAAAATCAGGCAACAAAAATCAATTAATGGGAAATAAAACATAACAGACAGCTGGAGGAACCTGCAAAGGACACACAGAATATGAGATAAGATATGTTCTGCAGCTGTTTTTGTAAGCAGTGTTTTCTGCAGAAAGTAGCAAAAAAAAAAAAAGAAGAAAGAAAAAAACAATTGTACGTGCAAGTGAAAATGCAGAGTAGATCTGCAGTTAAGGACAAACTGCTTTCCAGCTGAATGCTCTTACAGATAAGCGTAAGGGCAAAATTATGAAGTGCACATTGAAGAAAGTATTTTCACAAACATGCACAGTTCCAAACAGCTAACTAGAACAGTGTGCACTCAAGATGTTAAACAACAATCAGTAAGGGCTGATACCAATATACTTACTCCCATGGAAAAGCTACAGAAATATATAGCAGTAGATTTCAAAATATAAAAATTATCAATATTCTGTTTGCAAAGTTTTTCTTGCCCTAGCTTTAGATTACAATATAGGAAATAAACAAAACAAGATTCTTCACAGAAGACTTGAATTTATGTTTTTTCACAGGCAAAACAAAAAACAAAAACAATAACAGAAAAAAACCTCCAAAACACCCTCAACTCTGTATCTGAATTAAAGTCAAGACTCAATGATTTCCAAGTGAGTTCTGAACCTGGCAGAATGAGCTCAGTAGGCCTTACCACATGGAAATGAAATTTGGCTTACAGGTAAAAAGGCATAAATATAATATGACAAAAAACCAATACTAGCAGATCACATTTGATGATAGCATGACAAAGCACAATGTCTAATCTAAATTCTTTTGGTATTCCTCCAACCATTTTCTGATTAAAAAAATAAACAGAATGTAAGTGGGAAAACATTCTGAATAAAAAGTGTTGAAAGCAAAATCAGTTTTGAGAACAGCTGAACTTGGAAGTTATCACAAAGATATTACAGTTCCTGTGCTTCCTGCCAACCTTGAATGCAAGGTTGTCCTTAGTCTCAAATCTAAGGAAGTCGTTCTCAAAAAATGTATTTGAATCCAGATATGATCAGGATCTCCTTGATTATTGCTCACTGAAACAGGCTGCCCACAGAGGTGTGGAGTCTACGTCTCTGGAGATCTTCAAGGCCCACTTGGACGTAGTCCTGTGCCACGTGCTCTAGGCGATCCTGCGTGTGCAGGGGGGTTGGACTAGATGACCTCTACAGGTCCCTTCCAATCTTAAGCATTCTATGATTCTATGATATCAATATCAATTCTTCCTCCTCTCATACTGACATATTATGTGATTGACCCACTGGGGCCCAGACTATCCACAGAAAATCTGAGTCATTCTGGAAAGGACGGATATCAACAGGACACCCTGTTCTACTGTATTATCTGGAGTAAATGAAAGGATTCAGTGTTCTCCAACTGCTCGACCTGTTGTCTTTACTGTCCCTGACAATTCTTAAACATGGATATACTAAATGGATAAACCTAAAATAACTGGCATGGTTTCCTACTGTGTGTCTCTAAATTATTCTGCTACTGATTATAGTGGTATTTTTTCTGGCCTTCAGAATACAAAAAAGCTATTTCTAAAATAAACAATGAAATGCTTGAAAGATACCTTGGCTGATTCCGTTTTACTGAAATTACTGTTGAAAAACAAATTTTAGGACTAGTTTTCTGGAACAAATTTCTTTGAACAGAATTAGATGACAACATGAATGTAAGGACCCAGGGGCCTGTTCCTCCACAGGGTGTGAATTCAGCCTTAACAACTTGTACATGGAAGTAATGAATTGTTTTGACTTTGTCTTGCACTGCAAATTACTTTTAAACTCTGCATTTCGGAGAAGAGTTAAGGAAATTACTTAGAAGTATGGTAAACATAAATAAGTAATATACCACATTAATTTATGGCATGACATGGCCATCTGGCAGTTTTTCTGCTGTTGATTTTGTTCTCACTCCATATTTAAATCAACAATTTGACTTACTGATTTACACTCATATAGATGAAAGGACGGAACTCATTCAGATAAAGGGTATAAGGAGCCTCAGTATTTTAATGGTATTTTTCTTAGACAGTTTCCATGAAAAACCTGTTGTTTTCTTGACTTCTATGCTGTATTGGAGATATATGTTGCTGTTTCAACCTTTTTTTTTTTTTATCAACATTTGGTCAAACTGCTCTTGATCCAAAACATAAGTATTTAGCTTACTGTTTGTGTCAAATGAAACACTTAAGGTGCTAAAAAAATGAAAAGAAGGCAATCTTTAGAAAATCTCAGGTTGTGGTCCCTGACAGCAAGTGAAAACGAAGATTCAGTTAAAATTTTTCAATTTTATTTTGCTGGTATCAACTCAATGCATCAATAATAACTATTATAATTTTCTGGCTTTGCTTGTCTTGTTGGTGAAATTTCAAAACAAACATTACAGGAAGTGAAACAGAAAAAAATAAACATTGGAAAAGGTTCACCTAGCATTGATTTAAACCACAATAAAAGTGATTACTATGAAATCATCTAAAAATAGAAGTTGAATTGTTGTCATTATTAAAAATGAACTTTGAAAAGACAAATAAATTATACATAGAGCTACCAAGCATGCTATAGCTATTAAGCCATACCCAGATTTTCTTTTTGTTGACATATGTATTCAGCAGTTGGATAGTTGGTACAGCTGGCACTTATAAGAGCTTTACACTCTTCTGTTGACATGCCCTCTGTTTATACTATTGATACAAACACTTGCATTTTATGATTGAGTAAACCAGGCAGGAACAATAAGATCTCTTATTTGGGAAGATATTACAAAATATACTTACACTGTTACATGTGGGAACGTAGGCCTCTGAATGATTCTGCAATGTGGCAAACCCTGGAGTCCTTTCCAATCAATTTAGAAATTACTTGAATATAAATTACTAAAACAACTAGCATTGTGGCCAACCAGAGTTTCCTGATGCAATAAGCATTTTAATGAAAACAAGGCTTAGAGGGGAATTCAGTAACCTTTGGACATCTAGGAGAAGGCCATCAAGAAGATGGAGCCAGGCTTTTTACAGAGGGGCATGGTAAAAGGATCGGAGACAACAGGCAGTAAGGGGATGCTCAGGCTGGATATAAGGAAACGCTTTGATGAGGACAGTCAAGCAGTGGACCAGATAGATTGCCTAAAGAAGCTGTGTAGTCTCCAAGCTTGGAGGTTTTCAAGACCAGACTGGACAAAACTATGAGCAACTTGATTTGATCTCATAGTCGATGACACTTGGAGCAAGAGTTTGTATTAAAGATCTGAAGCTGCTTCCAATCTGAATGTATTCCTACACACCCAAGAAAAAACATTGAAGAGGAACAGGCAGTTGATTAAAAAAAAAAAAAAAGAAAAAAAGCTCTTTTCTTAAGACTATTAAATATCGAAGGCCAATTTTCTGCATTTATTTATATGATTTTGTATTACCAGATGCTCTTTTCATGTGCACTGGTACAATCTTAATCTGAGATCATTTTGCAAATCAGGCATGATTTTGCTGATACCGATAATCAAACATCACACCAAGTTTAAAAATAAAATAAATAAATAAATTAAAAGACCAGAAGATTTTTAAACAGGAAAACAAGCAATCTTCTCTGTCTGAGATTCAGAGGCTTAGTAAACTGACAGCAAAACACTGGATATATAAACATAGCAGTGTTACATACGTTGCATAAGGATAACACTGAGATAATCTCTCTTTATCAGTTACTCAGAGATGTTGGAAACATTTAAAGGTGAAAGGAAATTATCTACTTTACCAATAACTCTCTTTTGGCAATATCCAAATAAATGATCTGTGATGGGTATTTTACTGAAAACAGGAAAAGACATCTACATCAGTCAGCAATGGTTGGAGCCTCTGGTCCTTCTCCAGCCAGCTACCTTAGATGGGGACATGTTGGTGGCCCTGCTCACCATAGCAGGTCGTATAAACATTAATTCAGCATCACTGGCAGAACAAAATCTCCAGCGAAGCTGACAAACAACAACAACAACAAAGAAAACCTGTGGCTTTTTCTACATCTCACCAGTTTGTCAAACTCTCTTTCCCTTTCTGAAAGTAACTGGAGATTTGACTGTCATTTTACTTTGTATCTCCTAATTCTGTGCCAGCTGTGCTGAATTTTACAGAAAATTGAAATGCATAAAAAGGAACAACAGTAAATATTTCTTTATTGGCTGCATCTTCGTTATTAGTTTGATAAACGTGTGTCTTCTATGGTTCTGAATACGTATCAGTTCATCATGTGGTTCCAAATAATTCTGAATTTGTCACAGAATCATTAACAGCAACTTTGGGAAATACACATCCTTGAGAATGCTATATGAGTCCTGCCAACATATTGCTGTGTTTTTATGTGAACAATCAAAACCCCTCCAATTATATGACTGTAGGCTTAATGCTAGCATGAAAAATGGTGTTTCAATCTGAAAATATGCACTTCTCGGAAACAGATTTTTTTGCGTTGAATATTTGGATTGGTTTTAATCTGAAGTGTAAATAAAGACTACAGTTATGAAGGAGAACTGTGCTGCATATAATGTGTAACTGAATTTGTGAATTGTCCTGTCTTGCTTTAAACCTATTAAATGCCACTGTTTCTCCCGAAATCTGGATATTCTGGGAGGGTGTATATTTTAAATACAATTTAAGCTATTCAAGTGAAAAAAATATTCTAATTTTGAATCATGGAATTTCTTTCCAAAGAAAATTAATTATCATATTACAACACAATCTACGTATCTTAATCATCTAGTAGGAAAGCTATTTTTTGGGGAAGGGAAGACATAGAGATAATTCATTTTCTTTAGCAAAAGGTCTCAAAAGAGATTTTGCAGGTAATCCAGATATTTACTATTTTGCACAAACATTTTTGAAGCCATCTGAACCATAATAAATCTGCATCATGCAGATCCTTTCGGGTAAAACCGATGGACTGAATTTGTTTGCGAGGTTTCACATACAATTACCAAAGAAGAAAAAAAAATCAATCAGTAACACTAATTCCTCCCCAGACTGAAGATGTAGAAGAGCATTAAAACATTAGAAAATTTTGACATTTAGAAAAACACTCCACAAATTCTCAGTAAACAAACATACTTGGAAAATTCCTGTTTAGTTGTTTTAGATTTGCTAAATGTTAATGTAAGCTAAAGATACTGAGTGCAAAAATTCATACACCATCCTCTAGGGAAATGTATTTTTCTGTCATATGCAAGTCACTTTTTTATCTTTACCAATTAAAGTTATACATACAAAGCAGTTATTGATACCTGGTTTCTAAACAGAGGAGGAAGGTAAAGAAATCTTTAACTACTTCTAAAAGTAAATAGTGGTTTTCACTAGAAAACAACTTGTTCACTTGTTCCCCAAGCCTGCAAGGAGATAAAGAATCTGTTAGACTATATTTCAGGACCTGTCATCAGTTTTAAAATATTCTTGCAAACAAACACAAAGCAATAGAAAGAAAAGATATTTTAACTTAAAGGTTTTAAGATAAAAATATCACTCATCTTCTTCTATGCAGTTTTGATTTTTCTACTTCAAGACTGAAAGAGGTAGGAAAAGGGCATGTTTACAGAGTAGCCTCTGTAAAAAGCTTTCCAGTGTTGAACAGTATTAGCAATCCCAGAACGCCACTGTGAATCTACCCACATTAATTCATCTCTGTTTAGAAAGTAAATGGTCACAATCTACAGGCTGAGCTAATGTCCTCTGAGACCTCTCATTCCCTCTCCAATATTACTATCGCCAGGGATATTGGGCATTCCCATGCTTTCTATTTATGAAATTTATTTTCCACTCCATTGACTTCTGCACACATTTTATCCTCTTCTCAGCTAATGCAAGGTGGAGCCTCAGTTTGCTTCTAAGCTATTGATATAATAGAACAGTTTGAAAGGGTTAGGATCAATAAAGGAAAGAGCTGGAAATATGTTGACATTTTTTAGACCAAGCAGACCTTTGTTTGGCTGGACCAATGCTTTCTCATGTTGTTTCCTGCAGGGTACTCTTAAAAAGAGATTGAAGCTCTGTGGAAATAATTGTACAGGAAAAGCACCCATTTGCTCGTAAATGCTGAAATGCTTACTGAGGATCTTGGTCAAAGAGGGTTTGGCCAGGAGAGAACAGTGTGCTGGACAGGGACTCAGTGGACTTAGCTTCTATATGGCTTTGTGGCTTTGATATGAAGCCACTCAACAGTGATTCTGGACCAGTTAGTTAACATTTCTTTCTGCTCTAGTTTGGAGCTGTTTGAATTTTGCGGGGGAAGAGTTCTATGAGAGACTGATAGCATATGTAAAACTTTTTTTTCTCAAAATATGCCTTCTGAATACATTCCCTTTTTTGGTGCCTTTCCTCTCTGCTTAACGTTCCCTACAAGCTTGTAATATATGGATCACATGTAAGAAAACTTTTTTCTTCTTCTCTTTAATTTTCTGTCCTGCCTGTATGTAGTGACTGGCTGAACTGCCAGGATGACCAGAGTGAGCACTGCGCAAAAGCTACTCAGATCACTTCCAGCCACTTCATGCAGGAGGTAGCCCATCTAGCCTAATTGAACTTCAACACAATTCTAAAAGTGTTCACTGCTTCATTTTGCAAGAGTACTTTTTATAGTACTTTTTATAGCTTGGAACCTAATAGCTCTAGTCCCTTCTCAAACTGATGGATGATGCTAGGTATTAGTCTGTGGCTGGAAAAAAAAATAATGTGGAAGACAAAAAGGCATTTGAGAGGTACATTCCTTATAGATGATCCCTAGAGTTCCCTTCCAACCTTAAGGATTCTATGATACGGCATGATTCTATGATATGGCATGATTTAGGAGGTGATCACATGATAAGTTATGTTCCTGTTCATTAGATAACTGTACTTCAGAAAAATGGATCGTATTTGGATCTTCTAAAGGCCTTAAATGTCATCTTAAGGCATTTATCTCTAACCTGCTCCTGGTGAGCTACCTACAAATTAAATCTAACTTCATTTGCAAAAGAAACTTTACAACAGCTTTTCTAAATTGAACCAAGAGAGAACCCAAAGCCCATGTGTGTTAAGTGTTTGCTTTGGATGGGTGCAATGAGGCTGGTTTCTCAGCCACTGTATGTTTACCTAACATTTCCCTGATAAGCAGAGTGATACCAAAGACCCACTTTGTGACAGTGCTAACACCATCTGCCAGGTGCTGATTGCTTGCTGAGTGCTGCTGTCATCAGCACCCCAGTGCTGATGGAAAGTTATCGCTTCAGTGACCACTGCTGCTTTCATCTTCTCTCTAGTTGGTTACTGCCACTAAAAACTCTTACTTAAAAAAATAAATAAAAAGTAAGAAAATCTCAGTCAGTTTCTCTTTATCACAATGAATTACTTCCGGATTACCTTGCAGTGCCACTGTTGTGCATTTAGTGCCTTCTGCATATTGTCAATTTTAATTATTTACCCTCTATGATTGTTTTCAGTACCTTACTTGGTGTCAAATACCCACAGAAAGTTTTACTGCCTTTTGGTATACTGAAATACCTGTTAATGGAAGACTCTATTAGACACAGCAAACCAGTCTGCCTAATGAGGTACGGTGCAATGTCATCACCTGCATAATCTTTATTTGGTGTCAACTGCTGCAGTTAGATTAGTAGTGTTGAATCACAGCAGCTCAAAATCAGGGCAGATAGCTTTAAAGAAAATGTATATGGAATATTTTAGAAGTATGTTAATTATGAATCAACAACGCAACAGTATTTATTTCAGTGCAATTAAATATACTATGTGGGCTGCATAGGCATACCTGATGCAGAAAGTTAATTGACGGTGGTGGGGAAAAACAGGCAGTCTTCATAGTTTTACATTGTAGCACTGAGCTATTAAAATAAATACATGCGAAGAACCGTAAGTGTTTTGAGCTGCTGAGGACACAGTGCAATGTATCTACCAGAATCAATTCCCATCTGTGCCAGTGTAAATGTGGACTAAAGCTATTTTGGCTTTGAAATGATGTATTGGAAATTTCGATTGGGCATCTTATTTTTTTGGAAGAATTTACCTTTCTTTTGCAGGATGTTCTCTCTTGCTTTAATGAAAGCGAGGATGTCGGCATCAACCTGACTGTCTCCAGTCAGGGGAATCGATGAACTTGAACTTGGCAGGCTCCTGAAACAAGCAAGTATATTTGCAGACTCAAGCTAAGAATATTATTTTTTTCTATTGCTGTATCCCATTGCTTTGTTCTGCAGATATATTGGCAGAGATGGCATAGTTTAGAGGAGATTCAAGCTCAGGACATCCTATGTAGATCCTTAAAATTGGTCAGTAGCTTTCTGGTTTGGTAGGGCTACAAGCTTACTAATTATGAAAGATCTCACAAAGAGGGAAACAAAATGACTGCTGTGCCAAAGATTTCCTATCAAGTAGAAAAGCTTCATATAGTGGGTTTAATAAAGAAGGATGTGGGCATGTCATGTGTATGCTGCGATAAAAAGTGCTGCTATTTATTTGAACAAAGCACTAGTATTTTTGCCTACTGTAAGGAAATTAAGTTTCCATGTACATACACAAGTAAGCAATCACATGTCGTGTGCTGACAGAAACAGTTACTTTGTGGTCTTTACTTTCCAGTACGGAAATCTTGCATCTATGCAATTAAATTATTGACTTACCTCTTTTCTTTGATAGCCTCTCAATTGATATATTATGCTATGGTATAGCATGATGATGCAATTCTATATGATCTAAAAATTTAACTTTGTTTAAAAAATAATTAATGCATGACTGGTGAATTGAGAAATATAATAATAAAACTTGTATCATCAAAGCACAACAGGAGCTATAGGGAGTAATTTTATTTTTATGTAATCCAATGTTGTAGTTATAGTTATTTATTTTGTCTGATATAAAACAGAATTCCAATATCTTTGTCTTTGTACTACTAATTAAGTCATCAATTGCTAGATTACTGAACCAAAATGTAAACACTAAGGAAAAGTTCAGTGAAATATCTGTTCTTATATAATTCAACAAGGAGTTGTCATCATCAAGCAAGGACTATTCTCTTATCAATTAATATAAGGAATGAAAAATGCAGATTATATTTCGGAAGGTACTGCCAAAATTCTCCTTTAACTTCTCTCTTTTTTTTCTGTTTTTCTTAAACATGAATGTAATTTTAAAACAGTTTTGGCAGCTGAAATTTTCCATGATTTCTTCCTTTTCCAGGGGTGGATTATTTTGGAAAATGAAAAAAAAAATCTTCCTATTTGTTCTTTCTTCTGTAATAAGAAAAATAGAAACCACATTTTTCCTAGGGGTGGTAATAGTCAGAACTGTTAAAGTACAATAAGACTGTAACTTCTGGAAGTATACTAACTTGGCATGGTATTTTAGTGGAGGAACAGGTCAAGGAAATGAACACAAATGAAAAAAGAGAGAAATAGCTAAAAAGAAAAGGTAGTTTCTGCTAACCTGCTAAGTTAATTTTAACAAAAACAGCACCTCTTTTGGGAAAACATAACATACAACCTTTGTCAAGCCTGACACACTCGGGCTCCTGGTATCATTTTGTTTAACCAGAATAGTTTGGATGAGGGTACCTCTAAATAATTTAAGGAAGTACCCACAAGGAATCTTACCCAAAACTTTGTATTAGCATCACAATTAGGGCAACAATCACAAGAATGAAAAATCTCTGTACAGTCTGTGACTTCTGCAGTACCTACAAATTATTCTGTCTTCAAATGGTTTTATTTTTTTTTAGGAGGCTCTTTTTTCATGCTGAGAAGATACAGTCACCATAACTTCTCATAACTCATAGGGAAAAACCCTCAGGACAAACAAAAAGTCACCTTTTTCCTACCAGTAATGCAGATGTTTGGTGTAAAAGTATGGTGGTGTTATGGAATTTGGAGGAAAACTCGCAATTTCAATTTTCTTTCCCATTTTTAAAGAGCCTGTGAGTGCTATCTAGGGGATATATTACTTACTTACATTTTCCTCTGGATAATTCAGATACATTTCTTACCTTGATTTTGAAGTTGGGTAACTAAAAGTAATTGTACTTTTATTCCCAGCTGAATCTTCATTAGGGCTGTTTCTTATGGTTTCTGAAGAACTGGAATGGAAGGGGAAATGAAAGAAAGAGTATAGCAGGAACATTAATACATGCTAAAGAACTACAAATAAACTGTTTTTCAAAACTTTTTTTTTGAATCTATATAAAGCAGTTGTTTTCTGTAAGAAAGAGAAATTTAGTTGAATTCATGGGATGACTAGGTTTATGTAGAGATTGAGCTTGTAAACATTATACTTTAGAATTTGCCTTCTAAGCTGGGCTTGTAACGCATTCAAATGTATCTGATGTACAGTTGCTGGAGACATATTTAGTTCCCAAACTAACTATTAGCCAAGTGAAGCTTTAGCTTATTTTCCATTCTTTCTTAAGTAAGGAAAAAATATTACCAAAATCAGTAGGAGACTGGATAAAAACTGAGTGAGGATTTTGGATTGTGGCTTATTGATGATAGCCAAATATATTGCAAACAGCTGTTGCGCATTCCTGTCCCTACAGATATCATTATCAAGGAATCTCACAAATAGGAAAGCAGATTTCTGCCATGAAATGTCTAGGGACTCTCTCTTTTCCCTGAAGATATACACATTTCCCATGTCAACCTTTTAGAGAATTTGGCTAAATATGGAATTACGCAGTAGTAGGACTGTTTCCAGTAGATGGCAGGATTGGCAAGCTCTTGCTTTTCTAACGGCAGTAGTATGTTCATTGTTGGCTGATGTATTGATATTTCTGGCAGGGAACTTGAAAAAAGAAAGAAATTTATTACTAAAATTTTACTGTATTACACTGTGCCAGGTTCAATTTTGTGGCAGATATTGCGCCCAAGAGTATAAGTCATTTTCAAATGAACAGCTCCAGGTTTACTGAACATTTCTCTTTAACTCCTCAAGTCCCATACCATTTGCATGCCTAAACAGATTAAAATAACATGGAGACACAACCTTACTCTAGTAAAGCAATAGCGTATATAATGTTAATGATATTCAATACTTTATTATGCCTATGTACTAGCTAGAAAGAATGTGATGTTACTACCTACTGTGTGATTTAACAATATCTGTGATCATAGTTCTGCTTTAGGATTCCTTGATTTTTTTTTCCCATTGATTTGGCAGTTTTTAAGACCTAAATGACTTAGGAGCTTAAATTATACTTCGAAAAAAGCAATCTGGGTCTGAGCACTGAGATACCAAGGTATCCAAGTTTCCTGCAGTTTACTAAATTGTGATGAATCAGCCGAGCCATACCAAGCATCCATGATTGTTCTCTTAGCCTGGAACAAATGTAAGCTGATGTCATGTAATGTGATCCTTTTTCATTGCCTTTCATCAGTGAAATAAGCTTCTTGGGTTTTTATTTGCTGTGAACAGAGTGTGCAAGTTTATTTACTGTGGGTGAGTTGATGGAGCTTTGAAGTCATGGTAGCTTATATATTTGAACTCCTGTTTCCCATTGAATTTCATTGAAAAGTAGTCTCCAGAATTATCAAAACACCTTTTTAAAGGTGACTTTTGCCCATGTTCTGTTAAAAAAAAAAAAAAAAAGATACTGAAGGTGCAACATGGCTTGGCTTCTACAGATCTCATTTTCAGGTAACTCCTTCTGGACCTAGGACAAGATGCCTAAATTCACCTTGGTGTGCTTAGGGAAACCTGGAAATCTGAGGAAGCTGATATTAAAAAAAACTTAGATTGAGATAGCTGATGCCTAGATCTAGGAAATTAACAGCACAAAGCTCACAGATGAGCCTTAAACACCCACTCTCTGACTGCAGAGTTAGGGTCAGACATGCTTTTCTGTGGGATAAAAACTATTCCCCTGCAAGTGGCAGCTTATGTCTATTCTCTGTATGGACTCAGGGTGCTGCTTCCATATAACAGGTTAATGATTAGAGAGCTAATCTGTGTTGAGGCAAAAAAAGATACATTTGCAAGATTCAAGCTGCTTAAAATATGAACATTTTTGTATTTGCTTGCAAAATCAAATTTGGACTCATTTTCAAATTTTTAGATGAACTGTTCGAGCTAAATTATTACCAATAGGCACTAATGTGGAAACCTTTGAAATGCCATTAGTCAAACATGTTATTCCCAGGTCGTATTTCTTTATCACAGAACACTTTAGAAAACTGTCATGAATGAAAAATTATCAAGATGGAAAACACTGCAAAAAATGTAAATGTTTCCTTTGTTTCACATAGCTAGTTCATATAGCCCTAGTATAGGGAGTGAATTTTACACTTCAGGACAATAAATATTAAAATAACTGATGCTAAAAGTCATAATGGAGCACAAAGAGTTATCTGAGACTATCTCCAAGAGATTCTCCAAGGAGCATTTTGAAGAAGCAGCAGGACAGCCAAGAAGTCTGAGATCAAACATACTGTGGGGCTTGCTGGAATAGGATAAATGAGATTCAGTAAAAGGGAATGAGTAAGGTTAACAGACAAAGATCTAACTGAATTAAAAATGAATGGATCATCCCTTCTGAGAGAAGAAATCCAGAATTCTGAAGAAAGTTTGAATAAGTATCCAACAATTTCTTGATTCCAGGAGAATGCAAGAACGGTTCAACACTAGTGAAGCTAGAATTTTAGTGAGAGTAGTGACTTGAACAGATCTGATAAACTTCTTGCCAGTGCACAAGAAGAACAGATGAAGATGAGCAAAACATTGTGCTTGAATTTTGGAATGGAATGGATCTTGGAATACTGAGCCTGACATACTTTTAAAGACTTTTTTCCAGACTTGACAGGTTACAACCAAAAGATGTAAATGTGCATATGGTAAGAGTTTCAGCTAACACCACCTCTTTATTGCAGAGACAATACGGAGAAGCAGTACATTCTTTTCCACAGTTGAGGAATTTTTATCACGTTCTTATTGAAGAAAATAACTTCCTGTTGATTATTTTACATTCCGCTATTTGTACTGTGGCTCTGGGACTATCCTGATAAGGCCCTTTTTGTCTGAAAGACAGTGATGGGTCATTCTTTCTCAGCTTTGTACAGCTCTTCATTGAAATTAATTGTTCTGAACAGATGAGATTTGCTATTTCTATAGCCTTCAAAGGAAAGACATATACAAAGATTATATATAATTGGGAAATCATTGAATCTGCTCAATAGTTAATGATAACATGAGTCTGTAAGCATCATATTATACAAACTACTGGTTTCAACTATTTTAGTATATCAGATTTAGTAATATGATTAGCCTGTTCAAGAAATAGCTTTCTTATGCAGGGGAAGACCTCATGCTGAACTCACAGAAAACCCTTTGGTTGCCCTTTCCTTCAGCACTGTGTTCACTGAAATCAATCAAGGTTTGCTGCTTACTTTAATGGTAACAGGAAAAAAGCTTATGTCTTTTAAACCTTATTAGCTAAGGCAGAAATGTACCATTTTGTATCTCCATACAACATAGACACATTTTGGCACTTAACAATTTGGTCTTTTTTTTTTTTTCAATTGAAAAACAGACATGTTTGGCCATAAATGGAGCACCTTGTACGTGAGTGTACCCTTTTTAAGCCTCACAAGGATTACCAAGCATCCCTTCCCTGTTATTTTAGTTATAAATTCAGTTAATATAAAATATGAGTCTATCACATTTTCCTCTTAAGACTTAATTGTCTCTAGTAATATGACTAAGGTACGTCACACAGTAATAATGCACATAAATTGTGCCCTATAAGGTGGTTAAAAGATTTTGTTCAAACAAAAATATAAGTCTCAAGATATATTATGGAATATATCTGCATCCTTGATGTTCTGAGATTTATTACTCAATTTATTGAGTCTGTATTTATATCAATGCACACTAAGGAATTTGTCTGAATGATTTTAGCGCATACTTATTCTGTCATCAGCAGCCTTAGATTTCTTACATGCAGCCCATTAAATTTTAGATCTTATGTCCTCTGAACCCATCTGTGAACTGATTTCCTCCTTGGAAATAGATTTTATTTACACTACATTATGTATATAAAAATACAAAAATTAAAATCCATTTCTGCTTTTGTGACCAGTTATTCTGATGGGTGAAGATGGCAATATCAGTTTACAGAAAGAGGTTGTAGATTCCTAGGTGAATTAGAAACAAAGAGCGACTGGTATCTTCTCCTCACAACAGTGAGGAGAAACTGTAGGCTAAGACTTATCCTACACAATTGAGAGAATTAATAACTAAAATTCCTCTTTCCGCTTGATTCAAGGAAATCCTTGGGAAATAATTAACATTCTACTGTTTTATACTCTTGCAGTCTGTGAAATTGGAAACTTTTAGTCTACCGTTGTTTTTTCAAGTAGGGAGAAGAGTAAGTTTTCAAGCACAGTGGGATGTTAAGCCTGCAGCTGCCCCTCACAAATTGTAGAAATAGTGCTTCTAATCCCACATACATCACTCTGGAAATGTACCTGTGTAAAATATGCTTAAACGCATAAAATAAGATCTACTCTGTGCAACCACAAGATGGAAATAGCAGTTGACTTCAAAAGACCATTGCCTGAATACCGATAGAGATATTATTAGAGAGCAAAACTATATTCACTATGACTCCCTTGACAATTTCAGTTCTAGAAGGTGAACATTCTGGATCTATGATATGCTTATAAGGATCATTCAGTCAACCTCATTCCAGATGTCCATTAGTCAGATGTGATGGAACTGTTTATTATGAAGAACATGTGAGTTTCTCCAAGAGGCCATGTGGGGTGGCCCAGAACTATGAAATAACCCTAGGAACTTAAAGCAAGAATACACCTTCCCATGTTCTATTCAAAATGTTAGACAAAATTTTCTGAGATTTCTGCTCTTATAAACACAAAATGGTAAAGATATTTGAAGAAAAGTTTAAAAGAAAAGCATACAGATACCAATTAAGCTTTTTTTGCTTCTGAGCTGCGGAAAAAAAGAATAAAGAATCATCACTGTTGCAAGACAGCCACCCATTGCTCTGAAAAGCCCTTGGGCATTATCATGTGTGCTTTTTGGATCCAACTTAAACTACAGAAGATATCACTGTCCTAAGCAATTCATCAGGACACCAACCAGAAATGATCATTTCCAAGAAAAAATATGGGGCAAAGAGGTCGTGCAATTGCTCCCTTGTTAATTCAGTACGAAGTTAAGGAGGGTAACTCAAGTGACAGTCATGGGTTGTTTGAACTAATTGATTGCACTGAAGTACATTAAAATCTTCTCATATTCTTTTCCATCAGCTTCCCTGTGATAGTAGTTATGCTCAGAATAAAACCAGAAATGAACAGCTGAAAATAGATCTTAAACCATGTCCTTTTTTGCAGTGAATATTCCTCTATCTTTAGAGAACACACTGAATAAGAATTGCAGCAGAGAAGAGTAAAGTCATGATTCATCACTCATAGCCATCTGGAAGCACCTTCTTAGATATCATTAGAGGATTATGTTTTTCATTCTCTCTCTGCACTGATTGTAGAGCATTTATTAGAGCTACCTGAAAGGTTGCAGTAGAAACTAGAATATATATTACAAATTTAAGCAAATCACAATATTTATCATTTAATAGCATACAGGATGTATTTTGCTTGCTAAAAAAAAAGAACCTCAAAACATTTAAACACAGTAAAGCCGCTCATCAGGAAATGTTAACCGTATAGTGAGAGGGAGAAAGAGAGATATAGGGATGAGAGAAAGAGAGAGGAAGAGAGACCATTTCCATTTATTGTCATTAAATGTGGAAACCTGCACATTCAGGCATATTTTGCTTCACTCTTTCACTGCTATGAAAGACCTATTAGTGCAAATTTAAATTAGAGGTTTTGAAGTGGCTGACGATGAAATAAAGAGGATGTGCTTTACATTTTTCTACTGTAGGGGGTGCACCAGTGTTTTATAATACCAAATATAATCTCATTGTGGCATAGTACGCTACAGAAATGTAGCACCAGGACATTTTTTTCAACAGCAAATCTAGGCTATACATTACAACATTTGTTAATATTTTTTTGTTTGTTTGTTTTGCAGCCCCCTAGATATATATATTGCAGTGGAGACGAAGTCTTCTCATATAGCAAAATCCACTGATAACAGGCATGCTTTTATTCATTAGCTGTCACAGAGTTCCTAGGAATGGGTCTCCTAAGGTCCCAATACAAACATGTCAAAAAGACTCAGTTACAATAAGCTACCTTCAATACAATTGCAAAATAAGTGAATGATAAAAATTCATTTTCTACACCGTCATTTTTCTTGTAACTGGAAATGCAGTATTTGAGCGATGCTGGCAAAAGCAGTCTGGTGTACTGCAGATTTAACAAAATTGCTTACCTTACAATTAAGGAAGGAAGAGAAAAAATGAGTATTTTACCTGTTAGTAGATAAATGTTCTGAAGATTTGATAAATCGGGGATTAACTGCTACAGTTTTGGATGCATTAACCAACTCTGGCTTTTCCTGCTGGGTATAGATTGAAAAACAAATTATGTAGCATAGGACTTCTATAGAGCATTTAATACTGGCCTACAAATCTCAGTAATAACAAGGTAGTCACAGACTTGCTTGAAAAATCGTAGGGTATTTTCTTCACTGGACACACACTACTGAGCAAAGAGAAGAGTGTTTAGAATTGGTTTAAGTATTTCTAAGCTCAGGTTTCATGGTTTTAATATGTAACAGCACATGTTGGCTGATTTGATTTTCTTAGGGAGCTCATATTCCTATCCTTCCTATTCTGCTAGGAAGCTGAATCTTGGATCTTTCTTGTCAAGGGATAGAAAAAAATATGCTCCAGTGGATCCAAGAATATTACTTTCAGTGCTTTGAAAATTCTAGATTTGTAGACAGCAAGGTCACTAAAAGATATCCTCTTTGCCATCTATACGGTTAAGGATTTTAATCTGAAAAGTATTTTGCAATGGTAACTTGATTTTAAGCTAGTTAGATGGCACTTGATGGATAAGTTCTTTATATTAAGGTCAGTATCTATTTTATACCATTTTATTAAAATTACAGCTAAAATTTATTCTCATTAAATAAGTGCACATAACTGCACACTTCTTTTTTTATTTGCAATAATTTTTCCTGGAGAAGTAAATCTTCTCTTCCAGTTAACAATATACGCAATGGATGGTCTGCACTTGGCACTTTTTTACTTGGGCTGATGTGCCTTTCATTGCACCACTGTGCTGTGAAATGCCATGTCACTGCTTGAACATCATAAAAACCCCTCATGAGAAGGGGTTCTCATGAGAAAGCTGACTTGTTTCAGTTCTCCCTCCAGAATCTCTGGCATTGTCTCCTTTGTTTACAAAACTGCACATCTTTCAGCCTGTCTCAATCTGTTATGAGCTTCATATACATTGTTTAAAATATTTCTTTAGCTTGTTTTTATACAAGTCGTTAAACTAGAGGACTCTGTTTCTGCTGGGTTCCTAAATAGGCAATGATACTTGCCGTGGGATTCAGCTAGAGAGTTGGGGGATGCACACTGTCCTCAGAGTCAGTGGCCCCCTGGGAGCTTAGGAAAGGTTAAAAAAGGTTACAAAAGCCATTGCAGCCACAGAAAGCTAAAACTCAGCTATTCTTGCTGGGTTTTGCCCATACTACAGCATGACTGCCAACTTGTAATACACTCAAACATAGCCTAAGCCTGACAAAATTTGAGTTTTGCTAGCAGCAAGAACGATGCTCTTCCCCAGGTCTCCCCCATTCATTTTATGTTCTTTCAGACTCTGTGGCATTTTGGGGACAATTCTTAATTTTTGCTCAGGTTGTCTGGGAGGAAGTCAAAACTGAAAATAGAGTAGAAAACAAGAGTTTTGTTTCAATTCTATTAACTTTCATATGAGTATAATTTGCATTAGCTGTGTCAGATTTACACTTGGATTAATAGAGATGAATCTGGCCACAGGTCCCATCCTTTAGCCTCCCTTCTGTCTAACCAGTTAACTCCTACTTTTAGCAACACTTGAAGATGTTACATTTGCACAAAAAAGAAAGAAAAACAAAGCAATTTTATACCTGTAGTTTTGTTGCCTCTTCAGACCACCAGACTTCAAAGTCCTTTTGTAGCTTTACCTTGGCCTTTTCCATGAGAAGCTGCAGGTGCTCAATCTCTACCTTCAAGCCTTTCAAGCGATTGAACATTGTTTTGTAACTAATAGGAGAAGAAGAAAGTATATCACAGGTTTTCCAATATATCTCTGAACAAAGTCCTTTCTCACTAGAACTACAACATAATATGTAATAAACGGAGTTTGTGGGGGAATAGTGGAGGGAGGAAGAGGCACCCCATATTTTATTAGAACTTTCATGAAGCTGTATGTAATATAAATTTATCCTGAAAAAACTTTTATTTCACTGAAGAAACAGTGAAGTTCAAGTGAGATTGATACTAACAACTAAAATAGTCCAATATATCAATTTGACAATATCAGTCAAATATATCAATTATTTCTTTTGATTTCTCAGCTTGATACTGTTAATAGAAAGCTGGCATGCAGAGCCTGGATTCAATTAGAAGCTGTGTTTTTAACTACCTTTCAGTCAAAACTAGGCCTCTTGTCTAAGGTAGGGTTGTGGATTTACCGACAGCATAAAGTAGCCAGAAGTTTCCTCACAGATTAGAGCTAAAATAAATGCTATCAAATTACTTGATATCATTGCACATATTTTCTTTTATCATCCTGTCCACTGTTGAATTAGAGCTAACAGAACGATGGGTTAAGCAGTGCATACTCTGCATATTATTTATATTTAGTCCACCCTGTAGAGTCTAGAGGTTTTCTTTAGGTCGGGGACAGCAGGATACAACATCTGGAACAACTGACTTGGCTCACAATACAGTTAGAACTAAACACAAGTTTCTAACACAAATCCTCAAGGGAGACATTAACCTGCATTTTATTTACTTTTGACCATTAGCTCAAACGTGGAATTTTCCTCTCAGGTACTGTGGTACAAATAAACTGACAGCATATACAAATATTAAAAATACATCACTGAACAATAAAGCTGACATCTTTTAAAATGTCAAAGAAAACCCTCAGGATAGCTGTGTGTGCAAAATTCTAACGGGAATATACTACTAGTGTAATTCATCTTTTGAAAGGTGGTTTGAGTCAGAAGTAATACCTTTTTTTCTCTTCTTCAATTTGTGTTCGAAGTTTCTCTTCTACTGGATCAAACTTATTTAGTTCTTCAGAAGGACTGACAACAGCTAGATGAGAAATAAGAAGTGATCATGAGCAAAAGAAGTAACTTCTAATTACAATAAAAGCTATTTTTGAAGAGGTAAGTAGTGAAAGGGGACCTATACTATTTTTCCCCCTCTGGAAATGTGGATTCAAATTCTTTTTAGGCTTTATTTAGTCAAAGAGAGATCAAAATAACTTTAGTGACTTGAATTGAGTTGGTTTGAATTTTACAGTAAAGACTGGAAAAATTACTTTAAATACGAATGAAAATGATTTTGCCAGTCCATTTTAAATGTTTAAACTTGGCATAAAACCAAATGCATTAAACCTGTCAACTTGGGCTACAAGGTAATTAAGACTAGAATAGCAAATTTGTTTGTTGTAAGAAGACACAACAGCAGTTGTATCCTGGTGGCAGGAAACAGAAAAACAGAAAGGAGAGCAAAAGGCATATCCTGAAGAAGAAATTATCTTTGATAAGCAATAAAGTCAAACAATTATTATAACTAAGGGAAATACCCTGAAACTGTCTTTGAGAATATTTTTGAGATGAAGGAGAACTTCAGGACACTTCTCCCTAATTCAGCCGAAGAAAACAACATACGATTTTACAATACTACAACATGGCTAGTTCTTATACTGAGAAATGCAAAACAGTCTTTCCATTGCAGGTTATATAAAGTGGGTTAAATTCAGCAGTGAAAGGAAATGTAAAGTTACCTACTAGTATTACAACAGCTTCTATTTCTAGAATGAATGAGTAGTTTAAGATTTCCAAGAAAACATGTTTAAACTTTTAGACTACATAAAAATGAACGACACAAAAGATTTGCTGTACAATGCAAGCAAGTTTCCATCTTGACTGCTATTTTGCCAAGAAAATAAATTATACATCAACTTGTCATTAGGCCTAAGGAGTGTACCCTAGCTTCAAGGAATGGAATTCTGTCTGGAACAAGAGGGCAGTAATGACCCCTCTCTGCCTGTCAGCACGCCAGCTAAAACCATTAATCTTTTGTTGTAGCGCTCTGCAGCTTAATAAAAATGAAACTGGAAAGCATTTTATTTCATTTGGAGTACTTAGGTCAAGCATGCTAACACAGACTAAAAGCCAAGGTGACAAAACCTATGCACAATTCCCATTCCAGGCATCTACAGCTTTTGTTGGGCATGCATGTTATAAAAGGATGGAGTGAAGACAAGAGTGTGGTGGAGAGAGTGCCCTCAAAAAAAAAAAAAAAAAAAAAGAGGTGCAAACCTTGTGACAGAGTGGATGCTAGAACAGTGGCATTATATGCATTATAGCTGAGTGCAATAGATAATAAGAAGGCCTTATGGTCATATAAGAACCATTAAGAAAAGCAGTAAAACTGCCATTGATTTCAGGAGAATCAGGATTTTCTGTGTCAGATTTTGCCCTCGGAAAGAGGGCGTATGACAGAACATGCAGAGCTACACAGGGAGCTCCAGGAGAGAGAATCACTGCAGAGTTCCTGAGGCTCTGCGTTTGCTCTATCCTTTATGAATACGCAGCATCCAGGTTTGAGAGAAACATGCACTTGTGGAACAAACTGAAATGATTTAAGCAGTTACTGCCTCCCAAGTGAGTCATGTTCACAGACCATGCAAGCGTTCTTGATAGGTTGCTGTGCAAAGGCAGCCAAGCTTACCGGGCTTGGCATCTCCAGCAGCAGTTCAAGGGGACTTCCCCGAGCACACTGGAGTGTATTTGGCCTGTTCACACCATCTGTTACAGGGTCTGAGCTCAGGAGGTGGTAGCTCTAGCTGGAGGAAAATAATGTAGAATGCAGTACACTATGATCTTAAAATGTTAATGCTGTTCCTGAAGTAAATGCTTCCCTCCACACAAACGTCAGGAAATTCTGCTAGTCATTACCAAGTCAGGCAGGGCCATAATATTGCAACTTTCCTTCACTGATTTCTTTGGACATTTAGCACTTGGAAAAAAACATTTTTACTCTAGCTTTCAAAGGGCAGCCAAAGTTAGGCAGAATTTATATATAAGAACAACAGGAAAAAAATGATGATGATTACACCCTGTGGAAAGGATGACGTGGTTGCAAATTACCTTCAGAAGAAATAATAAAGCCTTTGTATAAGACAAATACATCTATGATGCACTTCATCAGCCTCAACTTCGAATGCAAGTTCTCTCTAGGAAACGTCTCTCTAGGAATCCACTGGTCATGAAAGCAAAGAAAAGACCATGATCATGGGCAAGATGAGCAGCCGAGGGATTTGTATACGTAAACAGCAGAAAGAGATGCATACAGTGTTGATGCGGCTATGGCAGCAAAACAAATCTAATGTAGCAAATTATGAAAACTTATATATGTACATATATATATATATATGTACACCTCAGCATGATCCAGTCATAAAAGCAGAAGATACCAGATTACAATGTCTGGTGAAGTCCCAGAGCTAAGTAAAGTCCCAAGAGACACTTGGGTGCCACTTTATATATTCTCTGATGTTTTCCTACACTGCTGTAGTCTCCATTTCATCTATTTATCAGGCCTACTTATTGCAACAATAGGATTCCCAGCTGAACAATATACTAAAAACTGTAGATGTCTTTGAATCTTCCTACCTTCACATATACAGATAAATGCAAGGCTCTTCCCTGATGTTCAAAGCAAAGGAGAACTATGGTTTGCCACTGCATTTTCGAACATTTTCATGGGCTGCCTTTTCCACTTTCTGCTCCTACTTCTTTTCTTCTTGTTACCTTTCTTGCATCCCTGCTGCGGCCTCTGCATGCCCCTGTGCTCCTGCTATTTACTCTTCCAACCGTTTCCTCCCATCAGCTCAGGCAGATTCAGCTACAGCTCAGGCAGGAGGCCGGGCAGAGCTCTATGTATGTCCCCTGTCTAAAGCCAAGTTTCTTCAGCAGGCAGGCTCGGTGAGTTAAAATGAGGGACAACTGAGCGAATAGGCATCACAATGTACAGGGCATAATATTTACTCACAAAGCTAAGATAGATACCTCAGAAGAAATACTAAATTTTTTGTTGTCCATAAACAACCAGCAAACATATATTAAAACATCAAGCTATTTTATCTGAATATTACCGTGTTTGTACAGAAGAACACGTAACTCAGTCAACTGCAAATTCACAAGACTGGCTTTGGTCCATACATGTGATAAATGTGCAATACATTAAAAAGTGTAGAGATGCTACTGCTAAAATATTATAATATCAGATAGGATTTCTGCAACTGCATGGGAGAAAACAATAGTATCTACTCTGTTGGCTCACTTAGGCCTGAATTTCATTTATCAATTGTCTTGAGTGTCGAGTTCAGCTATAGCCTTTTAATACAGCAGTTAAGCTGAGCAGCCATTCAGCTGATGTGCCTATCACACGCTCTTTTAGTTGGTGCAATTTGATCCTGTCTAATGCAGATCCAGCCTTGGGGCACAGAGGAAGTATGATGTACGTGTTCAGGAAACAGTATCTATGTGTATGCCAGGGGCTTCTGTTGGCAATCTCTACCCACTTCTATACAACAGAACTACTTTAGAATAAGTCTGTAGTGCACTTACGTGGAGTATAAATTTCTCTGTATTAGCATGACTGCGTACAACAGAGAGACAATACTTGGGAACCTTAGATTTTAGAGTCCGTTATTATTTTTAGAGTCTTTTATTAACAGTGTGGAAAAAAAGAGTGTGTTTTGACAGCACTACGCTGGACAGCAAAATAGCTAGCAACATTTAGATGCTACATTTAACTGTTTTCTTTCCTTTTCGTCTATAACAATCCATTCGGCCAAATGGGGCATGTGAAACTATTGCTACAGGCTGCCTGCTCGTGGAGGAAGGAGGACCCTGCATGAGCAGTCAGTTCATATCCATCACTAAGGGTTCCTTTCTTTCACTGACAAAATTGCAACATGTATTTCAAGTTAAAATGCTTTCATTTTAATGAAAGGACCAATTTTGGAGAAAATCAAGCACTGAATACATCCCACACCACTAAATCATAGAATCATTATGGTTGGAAAAGACCTTTGAGATCAAATGACACAATATCAGAGTTATATCACCTGCTACCTGGCTTACCTTTTCAAGCATTATGGAAAATATGGATGAAAAGCACTATTTCCAGCACGAGATATCAGCTGTTATCACCTTCACTGCAAGAAGGCAGCAACTTGAAATGCTCTGACAGATTCTTGTCTACAGTCACACAATTTTGCAAGAATTTCTCTGCGATCATGAACTTGGTACTCTGGAGTATACATATATTTCTAGAACTTGATATATCCTAAAGTCAAATTCCTAGGAATTTATTGTCCTCGTGCCTCAACTAACATTATATCCTGCCCTTCAGCTGTGCATTTGCAGTCAAAGTTTTTCATTTTTTCATTAATCTTGTGTTTATCAGCCTAGGTCATTTGAAGAACTTACATTTCCAACTGACTTCAGCATGCAGTTAATATTTTTACTGCTTTATCAATCAGCTCCACAACTTTTGGCAAGCTTTCTTTCTTCAGTGCTTTCAAAACAGAACATATGCTGTCATTTGAGCTTTCAGAAAAGAGCTATTCTTCCTTCGCTATTTGAGGACAGTTTACAGGGAATGCCCATGTTCTTCTCAATTATTCCTTGGGAAGGCCATGCCTACTTGAGTTTGTCGCTGGGCATTGTGTGTGTACATAAGCAAAGATGGTATGGACAATGAAGCACAGGCCCAGGTGAAGACTGGAAGAATTTGCATTGCGGATTTTAGAGCAAGTTTACCACCATCTTGTAAAAGACTTTCTAAATTTCAGCTAGGTGATCAGGAGCATATGCTGAAATAACCTGCCTCATTTTCAGCGCCTTACATAGTTGGGGTTGGGGGAAGGATTAAAGACATGTATGTTTTATTGATTCTTTTTAATCATTGATTTTAGTGGAAAAAAAAGTCCATTTGGCAGGCTGCTTTTCTTTGCATCATTGTACTGCTTATTCTTTTACTGGTTTAATTTTGGCTTGAGGTAACTGACTTCC